TTGTCTGCTGTTTTGCAATCTTGCAGTCTCCTTCGCTAGAGAAAATCTCTCCCTGGGACATGTGCAGAGCCCAGTAGCCCTCCCCAGGAAGGCTCCCTCCCTCTGCCTGTCTCCCTTTCTCCCTCACCACCCCCACCACCCAGTCCTGCTGCTGGCCCACCTCCACCTCCCAGTAGTGTTTCCCAGCTGCAAACCCTTCCTTCCCCACCAGGACAGAGACTGTGGAGGGAGTGTTTGGGCCAGCAGGCTTTGACGCGTTGCTGTCCACATCTGGAAGCCCGGGCACCTGGAGCTCCAGGACTCGGCAGTCAGGATTCACAGTAATGGCAACTGGAAGGGAAAATGAGAATCATCTGATAAGCAGTGTGGCTCAGGGACCTCTCTCCACATGGGGCTATGGGTCAAAGCGTTCGAGGGTTAAACACTCCCCAGAACAGGACATGCAATCATGCGCCCAGAGGCACCTTGAAGCTCTCACAGCCATGTCCTCTTTCAGGGTAAAAGTCCACATGTTTTACCATAAATTTCTCTTTCTCTTTTCCATACAGCCCTCCATCCTCTCCAGATTTTGAAACCTTTCAACAACTCCTTTTTTTCATTTTTCCCAACACCCACATCCAAGCCTCACAGAATCACAGAACCACAGAATGGTCAGGGCTGGAAGGGACTTCTGGAGATCCTCTAGTCCAACGACTCTGCTAGAGCAGGGGCACCTACAGCAGTTGCACAGGATGACATCCAGGTCGGTTTTGAATGTCTCCAGAGTGGGAGACTCCCCCACCTCTCTGGGCAGCCTGTGCCAGTGCTCTGCCATCCTCATAGCAAAGAAGTCCCTCCGCATGTTAAGATGGAACTTCCTATGTTCAAGTTAGTGCCCATTCCCCCTTGTCCTGTCACTGGGCACCACTGAAAAAAGACTGTTCCCATCCCCCTGGCACCCTCCCTTTAAGTATTTATAAGCATTGATCAGATCCCCCCTCAGTCTTCTTTTCTCTAGACTAAAAAGACCCGTGTCTCAGCCTTTCCTCATAAGAAAGTTGTTCCGATCCCCTTATCATCTTTGTAGCCCTTTGCTGGACCCTCTCCAGCAGTTCCCTGTCTTTCTTGAACCGGGGAGCCCAGAACTGGACACAATACTACAGATGCGGCCTCACCAGGGCAGAGCAGAGGGGGAGGGTGACTTCCCGCGACCTGCTGGCCACATTCTTCTTGATGCACCCCAGGTTGCCATTGGGCTTCTTGGCCACCAGAGCACATTGCTTCCTCATGGTCATCCTGTTGTCCCCCAGGACTCCCAGGTCCCTTTTCACAGAGCTGCTCTCCAGCAGGTCAGCCCCCAACCTGTACTGCTGCAGGGGGTTATTCCTCCCCAGATGCAGTTGGATAGTCCAAGATACACTTGCCCTTGTTGAACTTCATTAGGTTCCCCTCCACCAAACTCTCCAGCCTGTCCAGGTCACACTGTAAAAGCGGCACAGCCTTCCGGTGTGTCAGCCACTCTTCCTAGTTTTGTGTCATCAGTGCACTTGCTGATGGTACACTCTAACCCTTCATCGAGGTCTTTGATGAATATATTGAACTGGACTGTTATTTCCTGTTAACCAAGGCAGGCATATTCCCGAGACTCCAGCTCAGTTGTTGTATCTCTAATATTATGGCATTCTCATTTAAGGGTAACTTGGACGTATGGCCACTGCATTTTCACACCCTTCTTCCTGTCAGCTTACCTGCATGACTCCGGGCTTCCCAGAAATCTACAGAAAGAAAACAGAGAGTAGTGTTTTATGAATCTAGGGGGCAGTTGGATACTTGTCAACCTACGGTATTTCTGTCTATTTATTTGCAATTATTGTCATTACTGTGATTCTTCCCCAGGGCTAACTTTACTTAATGCACCAGTACATATAGCAATAAAATATGACTTTTAAACCACTTACCCAGCTGAGTTTTGAGTTGGTCTGAAAAGGAAAGATGTTCTAGTTAGTAACACTTTTTTTGTGAGGGTTTTTTCAAAGTCAGACAACCCCAAACAACAAATGCTCAAGCAATGCCATGAGTCAGCATAAGGATTTTTTTTAATTTGTGTGATTTAAATTTTTGAGACTTATTTGCAAGCTGAGGGACACAACCTGGGCCTTATAGAGAAGGTCAGCATTTGATTACATTTAGTAAGCATTTTAGAGGGCATTAGGTCAGCCAGTTGGGCTGTGTGGAGGAGATTAATTTCCTGGCTGCCACTGTAATGGTTCAGGTGGATGTGATTTGTAAGCAAAAAAACATATGATGTAATATAGTTCTCTGTAGCTTTGGTGGAGTTTTTAGGTAAGAAAAACTTCTGGTAGGGAGAAATATTGGTTGTCCAGAGAGGTCTTACAACAAGCCATGTGATAAATCCCTTGAAGGAGAACATGGAACCTCACTGTGAGGAGATATTTACATTGGCTTCACCCTCACAGATGGCATAGTCAGGCTTATCTGAACACTTGCTTGATTTTCTAAGAGGTTTATAAAAATGTAAGATTTATACAAGGTGATTTCTTACCAAGGTGACATTCGTTTTCAGACATTGCTGTAAAAGAATAACTTTAATAAGTGAAATGAAAATTTGAGGAGATAATGATTAAGAGGTGAGATCTGAAGGAAATAATTCTATCATGGTGCAAATACTGAAATGACTTTTTCCTTTAAAATTTGCCATGTGAAAACTTGACAATTTATATTCTTAAAAGCATATGTTGTGGATAAAAGTCAGGTGTAAATTAACACAACTGTACTGCACTGTTTCTATGCTCTAGACTTATGGCACTCTTTTTTTTTTTTTTTCTTACTGTTCTTCCCTTAGTTGTACACTTCCAGTGCTGTCTGAAATGGTGTGCCTTGGCCAGGACACCTCATGGCATCTTAGCAGAATCTAGATATCCTACTATAAACAGCTGAATTTCAACCCTAACTAACATAGTCAAAAATAGTTTGGTATGCAGGCTTAGGTGACCAAATGCAGGTGTCGATTTATGAGTTCTCTAGGTGCAATTAGCAATATTGCAGATCAATATTGATGGCACTGATAGTATCCTCCTTATTGTAGTATAAATTGTCTAATGTCTACTGTCTATCCATAGGCACAAAGCTGTCTAATGTTATTTGAGATACCCTAAGGACTCCTGCGTGGCGTTCAGGAGGCGTACTCATCCAAAAGGAGTTGACCTCTAGGGGGTCTTCGCTGTATATGTCCTCTCCATGTGGGTATCTCAGTTGAGAGATGAAGCAGGAAGAGAGGGGGACGCATGACATGGCACTTTCCTTAGTACTTATTTGGTATGTAGCTAAACATCCAAGCCAATATTTCTCACGATAGAGTCTAGGCCATACATTTTTGGCTTTGTGATGCTAGTTACAGCTGTTTGAATAATTTGACCAAAAAGTGAAAAAGAACTGGAGCAGTAGGTCAGAGCTTCAAGAAATCTCAGTACAGTCAGCAAGACACCAGGTAGAGAGATTACACTGAAGCAGAAAGAAAAGTATCGCAAGTCTCTTAGAAACAGAGCCATGCTAAATAATATATTTTAGGAGGGACTAAAAATGAAATAGAAATAACAATTGTTTGAATAAAGGCAAGCCACTATGCTTTTTCACAAAGTAGTTTATTTTCATTCTCTCATATATACCTACTTGTAAGAGTTGATCAACATCATCTTAATTGTAGAACTATATTTACCTCCTTTGTTTGTTTTCTTCTGGGAGTCTAAGTTGATCAACAAACAAAACAGAAAAAGGAAGGAAAAAAAACAACATTACTGGCTGCCCAATCAGTTTAATTTTAGAAGTTAGAAATGATGAGATGAGCTTATAAACTATTTCATTGTCCTCAATTACTAAAGCTCCAACAAGTTATTGGAAAATGAATAACTTCTGAATTTATAATCAAACATGAAATCAGATCATAAAAATGTTTGTTAAAGGGAACAGACATGTCCAGAAGTACTTCATATAAACATCTACATCACATTTGCTCTTTTGCGGATGTAAATAACGTGCACCCTAGAAGCACTAAAAGGAACAGGAAAACTGTATTCTTACCTAGTTTTGCCTTCAAATCTTCTTTTTCTGAAAGAAAAGATACATGATTATTAATGTATAAGTTTCAGTATCAGATTTTAAAAGTTTAATTACAATGTTTTCTTGAATACTTTTACTTTCTTTTTCTTCAATAACATATTAACACATGACCACCCACAATCAACTTAATCTATTTGATGAGGTAGAGAAGGTTGAATTACACAGAGAATTATGAAGTCAAATAAACAAACTGGTAAATTAGCATGCAAATTTGGAGGACACCTTAACTGTCTACAGAGATGAGATGACCTTCATTTGACCTCTTTTTCGGTATTTACAAGATGAATGTCTCTTATCTCATCTAGTTGCTTTGTGGGTCCCTTATAGTCAATGTAGGAAGTCCATCCCCCACCTCCCAAGTCTTCTTCCCAATAATAGCTTTCTCAAACAATTTCAATCTGATCTCTCTCTGAACGTTCCTGTTTCTCTTAGCTGATCACAAAGAGAAGACCCCCAGGAAGATCCTGAGACTTCTATTATTTTAGAAACTTAAATAAACTGAATCTCGCTGGTAAGATGAAAGACCAAAATGAGATAACTGTGCTTCTCTAGACTATGTCTGGGCCCTGTCTTCTTTACTCTTGTCATTATTTCACAAGAAATATATGCTGACAACACACAGAATTCGCAGAAATTGCAGCAG